CCCCAAAACCCCAAAACCCCAAAACCCCAAAACCCCTTATTCTTTGGTAATATTTGAATCAAACTTTTGCACCACTACTTCGGATCTATTATAAAGCTTTTGTATTTGGCAAGATCCCTTGGGACCTCATAGAAGCCTTATTATAAGTACTCTCCTTCTTTGTGATCTGGTTGACTAATATCAGGATTGAAATCATCTGCATAAAAAGATTTCCAAAGTGAATAAACTTGAGCCTTCTATGTGGATTTAAAAGATATGAACAAATCCAAAAAGCTGGGAATGAAAGCATGTATATGGATGCTGAAATGATGAATCCCTTCATGAACTTTAGATTCTTCCTTGGGATATTTCTCATAATCTCTTTGACATTGTAGAGAAAATATCCATAAATACCAAGTCTAAGTAGGATCAACAAAAGACCTTGAAATCCTTCAAAATCATGATACTTATGAGCTTCGCCATTATCAATGACTGTTAACAGACCAATAAAAATATGAACTCCAAAGTTTATGATAAGCTCAGTTTTGAAATAGTTTTTCTCTGCTAAGTCTCCAAACACAAGAGTCCAACCCTGTGAAATCATAATCATTAATGAAATTAGTGTGATTTGAGCCAGTATAGAAAATATTGTCTGAAAATAATCAAAAAGCCAGATTCCTCTTCCATCATACGAGTATCAAATCAGATGCATCACTCAGAGAATCAACTGAAGAAACTCTAAGACAAGAGCAACAAGCAAAGGCATCAGAGGAGATTGGTACTCTTCTTGTTTCTTAATCTCATTATATAATTTTAGCCCAGTTTTTCCTAACAGATAACTAAAAACAAGAAGCGCGAAGACATTAGTTGGGAGAACACCCCAGTACTCATGCGAAAAGTGAGACTCATCATTGGTCATTTCTAGTTCAAAATCTATTGTTTTCATATTTATCCCTTCTGTGTTAGTCTCTCTGTCTCAATCGGCTAGGAGCATGTACCATACTTGAGGTCTATTAATAATTCTAACTTTGCTTTTCCCCCACTGGCTCCATTGCCCATTGGATTGCATCCTAATGTTTATATTAAACCTAGCTAGTTTTTCTCTGTCGGCACAAAGGTCTGATTCCAAAGCCATATCCCACTCAGCATCATTCATAAGAAGCAACTTCACATTTACATAATTTTGGTTATAATTCTGTTGGAATCTAGTTCGAAGTTTAACGTCAAGGATGCTATCTTGGTTTACTGCGAACCTTGCAATATATTTTGTATAAGAAACAGTATCAATAGTAGTACTCCCTGTGATAAATGCCGCTCGTAGTAGAGCAGGGAGCAGAAGGACTAGCACTATTTGGAAACCACGTATTTTCATTTTACAATAAATTTATCAAAATAAGTAATAGTTTTAGGGGTTTTGGGGTTTTGGGGTTTTGGGGTTTTGGGG